GTCAATTGGTTAACAACATTGTGCATTTTTCGTAACGCGTTGACATCTTGAACTTTATTTTTTTTTAATTTATAATGTACATATATCCTCACGATATTGTGCAAAATATTTATCTGTGTTTTATTTTAAACGTCAGATATTGTGCAAAATATTTATCTGTGTTTTATTTTAAACGTCAGTTACATGGGTTCGATGTCAAATTTATTTTGGTTTGTTTGTTTTCTAAAAACCAACTCAATTATTTTAAATTTGTTATTTCAATCAGATGAATCGACCAAACCGTCAATGAACGACTCTAAGTGCGGTTACATTTTGATAATTTACGAACTTTAAATGTGTTTTAAATGTGTAGATGAAACAATTATGCAATTACATAATAATATAAAAAAAAAAAAAATAATATCCATATTCTAATTCAATGTTGTGCATTTTAAGTAATGGTGTTAGTGCATATATTCATTAGGTTTACCAATTACATGTGCACCAACATATCAATTTCCCAAAATTGCAAATAGATCCCCCATATTTATCAAATTCCAAAAATAGAACCACAAATCAAAAAATCCAAATCTGAAAAATTGGAAGTTCACTCCTGCACATCAGGCGTCTCTTCCGGATAGCACTGCCGCCGTCTTCTTCTCTCCTGCCGGTCTCCCTCGCCGACATGGAGGCTCTAGCCCAAAAGGTCTGCTTGTCGAATTGAGTTCGGGTGGTGATGTTGAGGCCCCGAATCGGCGGCGGTTCTCCGAGATGCGGGACGGGATTGGTGGCGGTGACGAGCTGCGATGATGGTGGCGGGGTTGACGGGCGGCCGGCTTGTAGGTGACGATGGTGGCGGTCTGGCGAATGTGTGGTTGATGTCGTCGGCGACGTGTGACCGGCGACGCTTGAGGTGGCGGTGCTTTGATGGACGGGCGGCGGAGCTTGGACGGCCAGACGACGTTTCTTTGGAAGGCCAGTCCGGCGGAGCTTTGATGTCCGACGGCGGCGATTAGATGTCCGGGCGGCGTCATTGTTGTGGTCGGGCGGTGGCGCTTAAAAGGCCAGGCGGCGGGGCTGTGATGGTCGGCGGCGAGAGCCTGCCGGAGTGTGTGTGTGTGTGTGTGTGTGCGCGTGTTATGTGTGTGTGACAGTGTGTGTGTGCAGGTGTGACCGTGTGAGTTGTGTGTGTTAATGTGTGAGGAAGAGAGATAAGGTAATGGAGATAGTGGTGGGCCCCACATTTGTAATGTCACATTTATCCTTGGTTAGTGGTCAAGACTTAGATTTGACCATGCTAACAACAATTATTTACGAAATTGCCATTAATGATTGACTGCCACATAATCAGATTGACTTGATCTTAACCATTAATATGATTGATCCCATGGTGCACATCCATTCTTATTTCTCGCATTAAGAATTATTCTCATATGATCCTTTCTCTCTATATATATATATATATATATATATATATATAGGGTCGCGCTCACATGAGAATGGTGCTTAACGCGAGAAATAAGAATAAATTTTAGCCATCGGATCGGATGATCTAATGTCTAATAAAAAAGTCAAATCTATACCTACATTAAGGATATTGTGGTATTTTTCTATACTACATTCAAAGAGGTGGGACCCATTCCATATTAATACACCTATCAAGTACCCGTCACCCACCCTCTCTCTTTCTCTCTCTCACTGATACACACACACCAATCGGTCAACACACACACATTACACACAATACACACAATAACATACGGCCGACGGGACCACCAGCCACCACCGCCCGATTTTCCGGCGACGCCATGCCTGACGACGGCTTAAGCGTCACAACACCTCCTCCAAGCCGCCGCGCCGCCCTACGCGATGGAGGTTCGATCCACTGCCGGCATCAACTTCAGCCGCGAATTTAGGATTTCCGAGTACCGGTTGCCGCACGTCGTCGGGATCTCTACATTGGCCGTCGTCGAGCTTGCGGTCACACGCACACTTCGACGCCTTTGGTCCATCATACGGAGCTCCACCGCCGTCGTCTCCATCCATTTCAGACGGCGGCCGATTTCACCCACTCCCTCTGGAAGTTGTTGCCGGAGCTCGGGTCGCGGCGGGAGAAGCTCGGGAGGAAGGACTGAAGCCGATGAACACGACGATGTCGGATTCCCCCGCCGGAGATGGCTGAGCGGCGGCGGTGAGGTGGTGGGGAAGAAGAAGACAGGAATTGGGAATTAGGGTTTGAATAGGGAAATTAAACAATTCAAATGGCCTGATTGCAATTTAATAAATTTTGATTATATTTATATTTTGGTACATGTGCCACATGTGTAATTTATAGAACATTTAATAAGTATATATTAATCATAAGAATAATTATAAGTAAATTTACAATGTAACGTGTATATTCACATTAAAATATATATGCGACGTGAGTGTACTATGAGATGCACATTAACGACCATCACATTGCACATCAATGACTGTCGGACTGCACCATATAGCAATCGAAACATAACTAACTTATCCCGTTCAAATTTGTATAAGTTCAAATATGTGTTTACTTTTAAATTTTTGGTTATTTTGGTTTCGGCTTTACGATTAAAAAAAAAACGAAATAACACAACAATCGTACTATATAAAAAGATATATTTTCTATATAATTTATTTAAATATATTGTTATATTCAGTCGAAAATAACGATAAAAAAAATATTAACATACAAAATATATTTTTACAATAAATCACGAACCATCTCAGGGATTTAGGATAAATCGGGTAACGAATCGATTATACCGATTAATTCAATACAATTATAGGTAGTGCATTTTATATATCAATACGTTGCACTTTATAAGACAACATTTTGCACTTTATAAAACAACACGCTGCACTTTATCACAGTACTCCACCATTAACGTCGATAACTACGGTCAAAACTCTGCACAAGTGCACTTTATACATCAACACGTTGCACTTTGTAAAACAATACATTGAACTTTATAAAATAAAACCCTGCACTTTATTACGACTATAAGATTGCATGAATAGAGAATGAAACCAACCAAACTCCTTTTTTTTCAACAAAAAATAATATAAAAATAATAAATAAAATTCTTAGCATATTAAAAATGTTTTAATAAAAATTCTTAACATGTCGAACTACATGGAAAAATATTACCGTTTTTTTTTTACAAAAAATTTATACAAATAATACTAATTTTTATTTATATTTTTTATGTATTGTGAGTGCACATTAGAGTTATACAGATTGCACATAAATGTCTATCAGATTGCACAAAATCGAACAATATCCAACGAACATAAATTCGTAAATTTTTATATCGTGGTTTTATTTTTATTATTATTTTTTATATTTTAGGTATTCCGATACGATGTCATTTTTTAAATTTTTTTTTTTAAATAACCGAAATAAAAACCAGACTATATTAAAAAATATTATTTGTATATTTTTTTTGTACAACAATGACCACAATTGACAAGACTAAAATTTTCAATTTATGAATTTTATACTATTAACAGTTATCTCTTTTTACGTTTAATTTTTAAAAAATGACTACACAATAAGTTAATTCAATTATTTTGATTAACTCGAAAACTAACCGAATAAATTGATCATTTATGTTCGATTTTTATTTTGGATTTCGATGAAAATACTATCGGTTCGATGAATATCTCACAACTGTGCATATTTACGATCAAAGCTGTGCACATTATTGTTATGCAAATATCAAATTAATGTCTCACAGGCTGCACATTAACAATCGAAATCGACCGAAATAATATTTTCGATTCGAAACTTCATATGTTAGTTTAAATATGATTTTCAAATTTTAAAAGTTTTGTTATTTGTGTTTCTTACCACTCTTTTTATATTCATTACACAATCAATAATTTAGTACAAATATTTATTTCCTTATAATTTATATTATAATTAAAGTTTAAAAAAAATTACAAAATAGTCCCTATCATTAACCTAATTTCTATAAACTAACCCCATTCACACCTAAATCAAATCACCAAAATTACATTCACAGGAATTGGATCCAAAAATTACAATCACAGAAATCATCCAAATCGTCCTTCACCAAATTAATTCACAGAAATCAACTAAATCTAACCTAAATCAAACTTCACGCTTCAAAATTACGGGGAGATATGAAATCTCTGAGCAGACTTAAATCACTTACTTTCGTAAAAAGCATTTCCGGCCGCCGCATCCCATCTCCCGTTAAGGTCGCCGGCGAGCTCATTCCGTTCAGGTCGCCGCCCCTCTACTATTCCCGACTCGTCTTCGCCTGCAACACTCGAATCTATCGCCGCCCTCTGCAACTCGCCGGAACGGCTGCCCTCGCCGTCGGTACAATCGGGGCGCTTGAATGGCGGGCTTAGCGAGATTGAGACAGGGGCAGGTGACGTTGGTGGTGCTGGGATGTCTGGCGGCGCTCGACGGGATGGTAGCGGCGGCGACAGCGACGGTTTGGGCAGCGACGGGAGAGATCAGGATAATGGCAGTGACCGGTGGTTTGTGGTGGGTTGATTCCAGCCGTTTCGGGTAGGAGGGGAGGGGGAGGGATGGATGATGGCGCTCGCCGGAATGGTACCGGCGGCAGTCCGGTGGCGGCGGCAGTAACCAGTGATTTGGGTGATGAATTTCCGCCGTGCCCGCTAAGTGTGTGTGTGAAATTGTGTGTGAATGTGAGAGATGTGAATAAAAATAAAGTGTGGTGTGTGGTATTTGTGTAATGACCCACTTACCCTTAATTATTGGTCAAATGTACATCTTTGACCATAATAATTTAAATAATTACTAGATTACCATTAATGATTGACCATTAATTATTAAAATTTGACTTCATCATGTCCATTGACTTGATATATCTAATGATCTAGGTTCATTCTCATTTCTCGCATTAAGAGTCATTCTCATATGATCCTTTCTCTATATATATATATATATAGATAAATAATTAGGGAGGGAAAAAACAATAAAAAAGAATAAAATATGAAATTAGGCTACAGTTCCATTAGTCCACCACTCCACCCGCTTTTTCCTCTCTCGGCCGAGGAAATGATACTACTGCTATACTCTTTTTAATGCTGCAGAAATTTGTTGATCATCAGATCAAAAAAATCAATTTGATTCAACTCAGTCATTTTGTCCTGATCCTCCATAGACGCACCTCGAACTCAACCAGCCGTCAGAAGCGCTTCTAAATTACCACGATACCCCTGTCTTTTGCATTTGCTTCTCACAGTCTTCACTTGGTTGCATCACTCTGCAAACCGTCGGAAGATCAAGCCTAGTTTTTGATTGTGCAGCTCGGAACACGTGTGTCCGGTGATTAATTTGTGCGGTTCATCCTTTCCATGTTGGACATGGTTGATTGGAGTGTGCTGGATAAGCTGCGGATGGCGGATGGGTAGATTTAGGGCTTGTTTGGGGAAGAGAGAATTCGTTTTGTGACGTCACGGAACGGCGATAGGATGAGCAACCCTGACGTCAGCCGAGCTGGTGGTCCAGTCGAGAGAGATATTGAGCAGGTATTTTTCAGTTTTTATTGAATGTCTGTTTGTGTTGTACTATTGATGAAGTCCGGGATGTGAGCTGTTATCCGGTAATTAGTTCTCTGATTAAGTGATGTAGAGGGTAATAAATTCCCAAATATTCACTAATCTGAAAGGAGAATGGCCACAACATTATACATCAACCCTTTTACTGCCGAGTTTTTGGTACTTAGCACCGCAGCATGCAAGCGCCCTTGTCTTTCCCCGCAAGGAAGACCACAAGATCATGTTTGCTTGGTAATTTGCCCTATTTGTGGATATAATGCGCGGAGGGCTAAACACTTTGTTTTCATGTAACAAATAGTTGATTTAATTTAGACGAGACAACAGAATTCTGATATATCAAGAACATTGTGATTAGATTTTGGTTTTCAAAAGGCCCCAAAAGTTAATTCTAGAAAATATCTTGTAAGAGTGTCCGGTTTGAGCAAGCTGTGGAAACTGAAAGAACACTTGAATGAAATCACTGGAGCAGACACAACATATGATTCTGGGTCCATGCCAAAGTTTGTTTTGCTTTCAATGTGCTCTTATATGTATGAATATTTTTTGTTTGCTAATCCTCCCTTTACTTAGCTTTTTGTAATGCCCAAGTTAGTTCATAGTTTCAGATTTATGAATCCATTGCTGATTTCTGTGTTTTATTTTGAGTTAACTAGGTAAACTTCATGTTGAACTTACACTGTCCTTTATTGGAGCTTCGGTTTCTTTTATTGCTAGTTATAATGGATTTAATTTTCATTGCATGCTATCTAATTTGTGCATACCGGATTGTGTTCTATAAATCTTTAAGGACACACTTGCATTGATTAGCATAGACAATACATTACCCTTTTACCTATCAATTTTCCATTTTGTAAGCTTATTTGGTTGATAACTTGCTTTAGTTTGTTACCTTGCAAAGTGCACTGGTTGTGTTCAATTTAGGTTTTCGTGGTTTTTACAACAGGCAATTACTGCTCTTAAGAAAGGTGCTCACTTGCTCAAGTATGGAAGAAGAGGAAAGCCTAAATTTTGTCCGTTTCGTTTGGCAAATGTAAGCAACTAATTATTGTAGAACTTGTATTTTTGTTTTACTGGCTTTGCAACAAAAAGGGTGAAATGAAACTTCATCAGCTCCTACGTAATCTTTTTTTCTAGTAGCCTCTTATTGTTGGTAATTAGTAATTATGATAAATGGGTCGCGTAGAACTCGTCCACAAAAAGAAAAAATTGCTAGCTAAAAGGGAGAGGGTGCCCAACCCACACTTATACACAATAACCACCTAATAACTAAAGGATGCGGGACAAACATAACTTCTAACACCCAGAAAAAATTGCTAGCTAAAAGGGAGAGGGTGCCCAACCCACACTTATACACAATAACCACCTAATAACTAAAGGATGCGGGACAAACATAACTTCTAACACCCGCCCTCACTCGCAGCGTGTCAAACCAAATGGAACAGGTCCAGTCCCAACATCGTCTCTGAACAAACAAACTTGGGTGCTCTGATATCTTGATAAATGGGCCTGAGCAGCACTCATCCCTTAAAGCTAGTTCAAAGGGAGAGGGTGTCCAACCCACACTTATACACAATAACATCCCAGTAACTAGTCGATGTGGGACTAGTGTAACTTCTAACAGATTAGTTGCTAAAATGTTGCAGACTTGGAGCAACTGATGCTGCAGCAGTTTCTTGATGAATATAATTAATGTTTATAGTTTTGAAGTGATAAATTTTAGCTCTTTTAATTCGTTCCCATTGTTTCATTAATAAGAGTTTTTTATTGTCATCTTAGAATACTCTATGTGTGTATATTTATATATATTATATTGATAAGGTTATATTTATGGTTGTTCTCAAGTTATTACCAGTTTTCTGTTGCCTTATGGGGACAGAGCTGTGACTCTTGCTTTGATTTGTTTGATTAGATTCTCTTTACTCGTGTATGTTCTTGTGAATGCATTGAGAAGATCTAATGACTCGATGCCCTTTCTTCAGGATGAATCTGTTTTGCTATGGTACTCGGGTAAAGAAGAGAAAAAACTTAAACTTAGTCATGTGTCAAGGATTATATCTGGTCAGCGGACTGTAAGTCTCCAAGTGCTCAATAACTCTTTGCTCTTATGCCTTCATTTATTTGGTTTATAGGACCTTGACAGTTATGAAATACCTTTAGAACAGTTTTTGTGTACAATGGTTTAGCTTAATATTTTCCGAAATCTTCGTCTTTGTTTAGCTCTCTTCTTTGTGTCTTCAAATGTCAATTTTCTTGTGAAGATGAATTAATCATTTGTTATAATCAAATTGATGCTGTCATACACCTTCATATGTTGAAGATATCTCCTAANAAAAAAAAAAAAAAAAGAAAAAAAGAAAAAGAAAAAAGAAAAAAGAAAAAAGAAGATATCTCCTAAAGTTTTGTGCTTTAGGGTAGGTTGGTTATTCAGTATGCTACGTAATTTTCCAAGGATGTTTAGATCCAAGTCTTGGTGCCACCTGTTTCTGAGAGTGGAAAAGGAGAAATCTTCACATGCTTATGCCCAAAAGTAGACTATGAGTTACAAATGGATGTGATAGATACGTATGTTAGATGTCTCCCTTATCCAGCAACCAAGATTTCAGTGAAGTGGTCATATAATAGATACTAGCAATTATGTTCCCATATCAGATAAATGGATCTTAAAGTTTTCTATTACATATGTTCTGTTTCAAAAGAGTATTGTTCCCTTATTATATTTAATTAGGTTTATAGCTTCTAACCACACTTTAGTACCTGAAATGGATATCATCTCATGCCCAAATCGGTACTGAACATAGTTCTGCATGAAGTTGTACTCCCTTTTCGGTGGTGATGAACCCACTTGAAAGTTCACAAAAGAGAATCTTTGTCCTAAAATTTATCACCATTTCTTGTCTGGTGATTTTCACTGTTGCTATCTGCTTTTATATATTTTTGTTGACTTGCTTTTATCAATGTATTGTTGATTTCTATGTGCACATTGATTTATAAGTTGTGCTATGGCACCAACTACTCTTACTAGTGATGCCTAGGGACTGTTAACTTTGCTAACTCCCGTGATATTGTCTTTATTAACTTGCTGATAAGTTATGAAACATGTCCGTGCATGCACGAAAATGTCAAAAAAGATGCAGGAAGATAGGGATTTTCAGAACTATGCTCTTTTTAATTGAGATCTAAACTACCAGTCCCCACTGAGCTTTATTTCAAAGATCCCAATCGACTGTTATTTTATAAAATAGTGGGTATGATCTTAAATATCTTTGAAGAATTATTCTATGTGGAGCTTATCCAGTTAGGTTTCTTCTTTTATTCTGAAACCTTGTGTATCTGAACTATACTTCTGGTAAACTCTGGTTAACTTATTTTCAATTTCTTCCTGGCAGCCAATTTTTCAGAGGTATCCACGGCCTGAGAAGGAATATCAGTCCTTTTCGCTTATATACAATGACAGATCCCTTGATTTGGTAAGATTTCATTTGTTATGGCAATGCTTCTTAAGAAAAAAATATTTTGGTCTCTTGATCTGGTAAGAATTCAATTGTTATGACAAAGTTTCTTAAGAAACAAATATTTTGTTCTTGTTTGGTTCTTGTACTGTTATTCTGAATACCAATTTTCGCTCGGTAGATATGCAAGGATAAGGAAGAAGCAGAGGTATGGTTTAGCGGGCTTAAAGCATTGACTTCCCGCAGTCATCAACGTAGGTGGAGAACAGAATCGAGGAGTGATGGAATTTCATCTGGAGCAACTAGTCCTAGAACATACACTAGAAGAAGTTCTCCACTTAATTCCCCATTCGGAAGTGCTGATGGCTTGCACAAGGTGAAACTACAATTTTTTTCAACTGTTTGCATATAGGGATGTGTGTACTCAAAAATATTTATTATAATATGTTTTCTTCTTGAAAATGCTTATATAAACATATCTCACTCCACTTGAGCAGGATGGATCTAGTCAAATTCGCCTCCATACTCCCTATGACAGTCCTCCAAAAAATGGTCTGGACAAGGCATTTTCAGATGTTGCTTTGTATGCTATGCCATCCAAGGGTTTCTTCCCTTCAGATTCTGCCAGTGCTTCTGCCCATTCAGTTTCATCGGGAGGCTCGGACAGCATGCACGGTCAAATGAAAGGAATGGCAGTGGATGGCTTTAGAGTAAGTCTCTCCAGTGCTGTAAGCTCATCGAGTCAAGGCTCTGGTAATGACGATGCCGATGCCTTGGGGGATGTTTTCATTTGGGGAGAAGGAACGGGTGATGGAATAATTGGCGGTGGGCCCCACAGAGTGTGTAATAGTTTCGGTATCAAGATGGATTCAATGCTGCCCAAGGCATTGGAATCTGCAGTCGTGTTAGATGTTCAGAACATCGCTTGCGGTGGGCGGCATGCCTCCCTGGTGACAAAACAAGGAGAGATATTCTCTTGGGGTGAAGAGTCGGGAGGTAGGCTCGGTCATGGTGTGGATGCTGATGTCATGCACCCTAAGCTAGTCGACACGCTTAGTTGCACAAACATCGAGCTTGTTGCTTGCGGTGAGTATCATTCTTGTGCAGTCACACTTTCAGGCGATTTGTACACGTGGGGCAATGGTCATTTTGGCCTCCTGGGGCACGGGAATGAAGTGAGTCACTGGGTGCCCAAAAGAGTTAATGGACCTCTGGAGGGGATACACGTGTCTTCAATTTCATGCGGGCCTTGGCATACAGCTGTCGTGACATCCGCAGGACAGTTGTTTACCTTTGGAGATGGAACTTTCGGTGTTCTTGGGCATGGAGATAGGGAAAGTACTTCAGTACCTAGGGAAGTGGAGTCCCTGAAGGGCCTCCGCACTGTACGGGCGGCATGTGGTGTTTGGCATACTGCTGCTGTTGTTGAGGTTATGGTTGGGAGCTCGAGTTCCAGTAATTGTTCTTCTGGCAAGCTTTTCACGTGGGGAGATGGTGACAAGGGCCGACTCGGGCATGGGGACAAGGAATCGAGACTTGTCCCGACGTGTGTTGCTGCACTTGTCGAACCAAATTTTTGCCAGGTGGCATGTGGACATAGCCTGACCGTTGCTCTTACGACTTCTGGCCATGTATACACTATGGGCAGCCCGGTTTACGGGCAGCTGGGAAACCCTCAAGCTGAGGGGAAGCTCCCTTCCCGTGTTGAAGGTAAACTTACGAAGAGTTTTGTGGAGGAGATAGCATGTGGGGCCTATCATGTGGCTGTGTTGACTTCAAGAACTGAAGTTTATACGTGGGGAAAGGGTGCAAATGGAAGATTGGGTCACGGGGATGTGGATGATAGGAACTCCCCAACTCTGGTGGAAGCTTTGAAGGACAAGCAGGTAAAGAGTATTGCATGTGGTACTAATGTTACCGCTGCTATTTGCCTTCACAAATGGATCTCGGGGGTCGATCAATCCATGTGCTCTGGTTGCCGCTTGCCATTTAACTTCAAAAGAAAACGTCACAACTGTTACAACTGTGGGCTCGTGTTTTGTCATTCATGCAGCAGCAAGAAGTCGCTCAAGGCTTCCATGGCGCCAAATCCCAATAAACCTTATCGTGTCTGTGATAATTGTTTGAATAAATTGAAAAAAGCCATTGAAACCGATGCATCGTCTCATTCATCTGTCAGCAGGCGAGGAAGTTTGAATCCAGGGGCGAATGATGCTATAGCCAAAGATGAGAAGTTGGATATCAGGCCTCGTCCCCAGATGGGTAGGTTCTCTTCAATTGAATCCTTCAAACAAGTAGAGAACCGCTCCTCAAAGAAGAACAAGAAACTGGAATTTAACAGCAGCCGTGTATCACCAATCCCAAATGGAAGCTCCCAATGGGGAGGACAAAGTATTTCAAAGTCGTTCAATCCAATATTTGGGTCATCCAAAAAATTTTTCTCAGCTTCCGTTCCTGGATCCAGAATTGTTTCTCGAGCAACGTCTCCTATATCAAGACGAGCCAGTCCTCCTCGTTCGACTACCCCGACTCCTACTCTGGGAGGACTTACATCGCCTAAGATTATGGTCAATGATGTGAAAACATCAAACGATAGTCTTAGCCAGGAGGTTATAAAATTGAGAGCACAGGTACTTCAGTGTCTGCATCCATTCTGTGCTATACGTATTTAACAGTTCTTTTATTCTTGTTTCCTCCAACCAATCCTCTATGGGCTGGAGATGTATAATGTAAGGGAAATATGGTGAAAAAAAAAAAAAAATCTTAAATGGTTAGCAACTGATTCGATGTATGACACATGAAAAAAATGGTTAAAAAAATTTCTCGTCCAGCTATTTATCATTTCTCAATAAGATGTCTTAATTGATTAGATTTTCGATGCTTTTGAAGAATATAGTTTGACACTCCTATAGTTTGCCTCTATCCAGATTTTTTTACTGGAATTCGCCCTTCAGCCTGTTTAGGGAGCATGTCCTAGTAGCTAATGATTTGTTAACGTGATTGCAACGCAACCTGGAGAGGTATTATTGAGATTCTTAATGTCTTGACACTTCTTTATGCAGGTGGAGAATCTAACAAACAAGGCTCAACACCAGGAGATAGAGCTCGAAAAGACAACTAAACAGCTGAAGGAGGCAATAGCAATTGCAGGGGAAGAGACTGCTAAATGCAAAGCGGCAAAAGAAGTGATTAAGTCACTTACTGCACAAGTAAGCTATCTGCTGAAGTTGTTGGGTTTCAATTATAGTGCCTGGGTTATTGTAGTTTATCTTGAGCAGTATTATGTTTAACTGTAGAGGCATATATGAGAGGAGAATTGCATCAAGAGAGCTTGTCCAATTGAGTAATCGAATGTCAAGTTCATCAATAATGTGTATGAAGTCGTAACCGATAACTAATAAGAAATGAACCAACTGCCCTTGTTTACCAATGTCGTCATATTAGTTTTTCGTGCGAGTATTAGCACATTAAAGTTATGACTTGTGTTTCTCATTGTTAACATTTGATTTTGTCATTTATGTTACTCTTTGCCTGTGCTAGTCTAAAAAATTATTCCCCAAGCTATGTGCAATGTTTTAAGTTTTATTTTGTTGAAGCTGGTGGTAAGTTGCTCTGTTCCACTTTACCTTTCTTCTCCAACAGGTACTAAAATAATAGTACAAGAGACTGTGCCCTTTGTTCTATTCTTCTTTTCGTATAGCTTGCATTTAAAATGAAATAGTTTTCCTTTAATTTTGTTTATTTATTTTTCATTTGCAGCTGAAGGAAATGGCTGAAAGGCTCCCTGTTGGTTCTGCCAGAAACATCAAAGCCCCATCCTTGGTCCCTATTAGCCCGCTTTTGTCCAATGATGTCTCAAATGCCTCTGTAGATATTTTGAATGGTCAAATAAATGGCCAGGAACTGCAATCGTATGAACCAAACAACCAGCTTCTCTCTAATGGGTCCAGCACAGCAAGTAATCGCAATTTGGTCCAAAACAGGCTGAGCCAAACGGAAGCACTAATGAGAAACGGAAATAAGATGAAAGAGAGTGATTCTGGCGCTGAAAATGAATGGGTTGAACAAGACGAGCCTGGTGTTTATATTACCCTTACGTCCCTGCATGGAGGGCTCAAGGATCTGAAAAGAGTTCGTTTCAGGTATGTTGATCTGGAACTTCAACCTTAACTTTTGCAGCAACAAATTATAGTATTTAATTTAAGTTGGCTATAGATGTTCTTTTTTAACAGAGCTAGGTGTGGTGTACGTAGACTTTTTAAGAAAAAACCTTTGAGGTTCAACCTTTATTACAAGAAAACTTGTCCAAGCTTCAGAATTACAAAAAATACCCCAGATTTTATGTCTTTTACATTTTTCGCCTTCATAAATGAAACAATTTTCAAAAGCTTTCATTATTATAAATATATTAGTTAGCCCATTGAGACGAAAATCGAATATTAGCTTAGTGGTACCTTCTGTAATTTTAATGGTTCACTATTTTCTTCAAAAATAAAAATTCAGTCTCTATTTTTGTTCTTTTTTTTTGTTTTTTTTTTTTGTTTTTGTTTTTTTGTTTTTTGTGATAACCAATTTTTTTGGGAACTACAGAGTAAATTGAGCACAAATTTGTTTGGGATTTTTCAATTGCTTTTAGGACTCCAACTTTAGGTATTAGTTTCTTAGGGATTTTCACTTAATTTGATTCTTTTAGGATCTTTAATTTTAATATTTATGTTTCTAATCGTTAGGTGTTGTTTTTATGTGTTCAATCCACAATTTTTTTTGCCTCATTGCACTGTTTTGATAAATTCATTTGTGTTGTAAGTGGATGTGTCTGCAGGAGAATGGAGGAAATATTGGAAAGTAAAAGNTTCATAAGCAAGTTCATCTTCAGCTTTTAAAGCTTTATCCCACTTTTAAGGTTTTCTTTATTTATGGTTAGAAGGCCATTTTGCGGCCCAAAATGAAATGACTGTTACTTTCTGGGTATAAAAAATTACACGGGAATCCTACGAACTGATATGTATTTTTCAGTTCTTACAAATAATCTAAAAAAAAAATAAAAAATTACAATAGAACTGAAAAAATAAATTACAATTGAAAAATAAATTAAAACCTAAAAGGGAAAGATTTTAGCCGAGGCGAGTAAAACTCTTTCCGCAAGAAGAATACGCCCCGTGTGGCAGCTAACGGTTCAGGCGTAACTTCCCCAAAGATACAACGGCAAACGTCTCTAAATCTGTAGCACACCAGATTTACGAGCTCCGGCGAACTGGAACGGAGTCGAGAATTGAGCACTTAAAAATATGAATAAAAATATCTCTCTTTTGTTATTTTGATAACAAACAAATATTTCTATAATTTTTCCTCTAATATTTTTATTCCTACAAAATTACTTTGGACAAATTTTTATTTCTTTTCTTCCTCTTTCTTTCTCTCTTTTTTCTTTTCGGTGTTCCTTTTCTCAGCAAAATGACTGACTATTTATAGGGATGCAATTGAGATCAAATTGCAATTGAATAATTGATACAATTAATTAAAAATGGTTGGCAAAAACTGATTGAGAAATGATTGGGTTGAGTTGGAAAATGGTTGGCCTAACCATTAATAATTGGTTGAGAACGTGATGTTTGTTTTGGTTGTCCAACTTAATAATACACTCACAATTAGCTTAATAATACACTCACAATTATATAACAATCCCCCACATGAGTGTAAATTAAATATAGTCATACTAGTTTGCTCAATCCTCACAAAACTCTACTGCATCAGAGAAGGTAGCTTTTGACTTTCTTAGTAAACATCATCGGATGTACTGGCGGACTAGTGGACATAATGCCTTGAACTATTCCTCCATAGTGTACACCTAGACAATGACATCCACACAATAGAGTCTTAACTCCATTTCGTTCTATCGTTTTGTCCGTTTTGGCCATGGACAACACAATGGATTCGTAAGTGTTTACATTTGAAGCGGCCCACACTTCACACTTATATAGGTGACCTCCCTATCAAGAGTATCCTGTATTACTCCACCTTTACAAGGTTAGGGATTCATTAAAAGTCCACATGACTTACCCTTACCACAATCTATAGGTCATCATCACTTGGAGTGCTCTAGGGAATAGCTTTGGACATTCATATGTTCCAAGTGCTCAACTGAATTTTCATAGCTTAGTTTTCCCTTTGAACCAAGTTCGTGGGATCTCCACTCAGCATGGTAGGGTTACCACTATGATCATTCTTTTCATTGTGGATTTTTAAGCCCATTCCCTCTAGCAAAACTACCAATTGATCTCTATTCAATCCTTTCGTCAAAGGATCAGCCAAATTTTCTTTAGACTTCACATAGTCAATGGAAATAACACCATTGGTGATCAATTGTCGTACGGTATTATGTCTACGACGAATATGTCTAGACTTACCGTTATACAAGTTGCTTTGTGCCCTTCCTATAGCAGCTTGGCTATCACAATGAATCATCACAGGCGGCAAAGTCTTATCCCAACATGGAATATCAGACAAAAAATTTCTAAGCCACTCGGCTTCTTCACCAGCTTTATCTAAAGCAATGAACTCCGATTCCATAGTTGAACGAGCTATACACGTTTGTTTTGTGGATTTCCACGAAACTGCACCTCCTCCAATACAGAAAACGTATCCGCTAGTGGAGCGAGAATCTCTCGAATCTGATATCCAGCTTGCATCACAGTACCCTTCAAGTACGGCTGGGTATCTCGAGTATTTTAGCCCGTATTCAAGAGTGTACCTTAAGTACTTAAGTACCCTTCTCAAAGCATTCCAGTGTTCATGACTGGGATTGCTCGTAAATCTACTCAACTTATTCACCGGGTAGGCCAAGTCTGGTCGTGTACAATTCGTCAAGTACATCAGACTTCCTATTATCCGTGAATATTCCAACTGAGCCACTGGTTGACCTTTATTGGCTACCAGATTTATACTGAGATCAATGGGTGTCTTACACCTAGACTGTGCACCGTCATAGGTATCAAATTTCTTGAGCACTTTCTCTACATAATGAGATTGTGACAAGACAATTCCATCTTGGGTTCTGATAATCCTTATTCCAAGAATAACATCAGCCAAACCCATATCTTTCATGTCGAAATTTCTTTTCAACATTCTTTTCGTATCCATGATCACTTCATGGCTACTCCCCATGATCAACATATCGTCTACATATAGACATACAATCACAAATGCATTTGATGTACTCTTGACATAAACACATTTGTCACATTCGTTGATTTTGAACTCATTTGATAACATCACGTCATCAAATTTCAAATGCCATTGTTTCGGAGCTTGTTTCAGTCCGTACAAGGATTTGATCAATCTACACACCTTTCTCTCTTGTCCAGGTGCAACAAACCCTTCAGGTTGTTCCATGTATATTTCTTCTTCCAATTCACCATTTAAAAATGCCGTCTTGACATCCATTTGGTGAATCTCAAGATTGTGCAAAGCAGCAATCGAGAGAAGCACTCTTATCGACGCTAAACGCGTAACTGGTGAATAGGTATCAAAGAAATCATACCCTTCCTTTTGTTTAAAGCCTTTGACCACCAAACGTGCTTTAAACTTATCAATCGATCCATCAGCTTTGTATTTCTTCTTTAGGATCCATTTACATCTTAAAGGTTTACAACCATCAGGGAGATCAACCAACTCCCAAGTATGATTTTGCATAATGGACTCGATTTCGCTATTTACAGCTTCTTCCCAGAGTGGTCCATCTGGGCTGGACAGAGCTTCCTTGAGGGAACTCGGTTCATCGTCCAACATATACGTAATAAAATCAGGTCCAAACGTTTTCGCCGTTTTTAACCTTTTACTACGTCTCGGTTCTTCATCAGTACCATCTGGTACAGAACCACTAGCAGTTTCATATGTTCGTTTATTAGAACTAGATTCTGCCCTTTCCTTTAGAGGAAATATATTCTCAAAGAATATAGCATTCCTCGACTCAATCGTGGTACCAACAGATACCTCTGAATTTTCTAATTTATGAACCAGAAATCTATATGCTGTACTATTGTACGCATATCCAATAAATACACAATCGACCGTCTTTGGCCCGATTCTCATTTGTTTGGGTTCAGGTACTGAAACCTTAGCCAAACACCCCCACACTTTCAGGTATTTATAAGACGGCTTACGATTTTTCCACATTCCGTAAGGAGTCTCATCTTTCCCTTTAGGTGGTATTTTATTCAGGATATGATTTGCTGTTAAAACAGCTTCCCCCCACATGTTTTGGGGTAATCCTGAATTTATCAACATTGCATTCATCATTTCTTTTAAAGTACAGTTCTTGCGTTCAGCAACACCGTTTGACTGCGGAGAATAAGGGGCAGTCGTTTGATGAATTATGCCATATTCGGAACATATTTGTTCAAAAGGAGCTACATACTCCCCACCCCTATCACTTCGGATTATTTTAATCCTTTTGCCGAGTTGATTTTCAACTTCGGTCTTATAGATTTTAAATGCTTCCACAGCCTCGTCTTTGCTTCTTAATAAATATAAGTAGCAAAACCTTGTGCAATCATCGATAAAAGTAATAAAATACTTTTTACCTGTTCTTGTTTGCACACTTTTCATATCACATACATCAGTATGGATTAAGCCTAATGGTTCAGTACACCTTTCCACCGAGTGAAAAGGCAACTTAGCCATTTTTGCTTCAATACAAATTTCACATTTCTTATGTGATTCAATTTTAGAATTTGGAATTAATTCTAAATTCATCAACCGTTTAATTGCATTTCGATTTACGTGTCCCAATCTAATATGCCATAAACCAGTACACTCAACGGTATAAACAGAAATAGGCTTTTCATTATCATTTAAAACGGTTACACGGCTCACGACCATTACATTCATTTTAAACATACCCTTGTCGAGATAGCCACGACCAAGAAAAGTTCCAAACTTGCTAAGAACAAATTTCTTAGCATCAAATACCAGCCTAAATCCATGCTCAACAAGAAGAGATCCGGAGACCAAATTCTTGCGGATGTCTGGGACATGCAGAACATCCTTAAGCTTCAACTCCTTTCCAGAAGTCAGCTTCAGCACCACAGTGCCCACTCCAGCCACATCAGCCGTGGCGGAGTTTGCCATGTAAAGTTTCCGACTCTTAGCAGGAGTGTATTCAGAAAATA